ATCCTTGACAAACAGGGATGCTCTTGTATCAAGTAGACAAGCATGCTGTCAGTGATAGTCCAAGCTATGGCTGTGTTAGCACCTTTGGAATATAAGCTGGGTCAATTTAACCCAAAGTCGATGGGAAAATGGTGTGTTCCCTTTGGCAATGCTTGGTTAAATGTTTCTACATATAAATGGCTCTGCCAATGCTTAGCCACAAAGGAGTCAATTAATAGATCTTCCAACCTTACTTTTTCTTGAAAATGCGGGAAAATGCTTTTATTTCAATAATGCTATCAATATTGACACTGTTATTTTTGTTATAAGCATTATAATTACTATATTGTTACTGACATTACTAGCAACAGTTTTAAATACTAAAAAATATTGAAAATCAAGGAAAAGGGTAAACAAGTGAGACAGGTACTTCTTGTAGCTGGCACATTGGTGACAGTACTCGTGGAGCCATCTATATGTATAAACAATTACTAAATTCAACACACACACAATGGGCATGGCATGTATGTACTTGCCATGCCCGGCGACCTGGGGCATGGCATGTAACCATCCTTCATCCTTGAAGGCCATCACTAACCTTGTGGGCAATACAAGCATGCTTGGTAAAAGTTATGAGCTTCATACTAGGTTAGTTCTTCTATCCTTTTTCATCAGCATTACTTAGCATATCAATATCACTGCATGGTGTAGGTGAAGTGCAAGTACATGCAAAGAGACCTGCAGGTGAAAGTCTGAAGCTATGGACTTTGGCAGCAGTCCAATAGGTATATAGTACCTTCAATGGTATCAAAATTGTGTCAGTTGTTCACAGAAGTGAGATGGTCAAGCTCAGGATAGTTGCTGTATACAGTGTCCAGAAGATGGGTGAATCTAAGTGACTAACCGGTTCAATTTTCCCAATCAAAGACATGTTCACTGTAGTTCTTTGGGGTTAACTAAATGGTTCTGGGTGATGGAGAGGTCTTATCATGAAGAAATTTGGCAGAGGAGCAGACTGGAAAATCTTGCCATGAGATATTGGTGCTAAGTAGAGGATGACCGGACTGGGTTATATGGAGTGCACAAAGCACTTGGAGGGAGACTGACTCAGTGGCCTTAAAGAATAGGCTTAATTGTACGCTCTTGCAGAATTTCCATCGGTCCATGAAGTTGGAATGCACCCTCTGTGAGCCATGCCAGGGAAAGGGCTGTCTCCAGGGAGAAGTCCATGGACAGGAACCATTTCCTGTGCATTTACACAGCATATTACCATTTTGATACAATATATCAAATGACAAAAACAAGACCTCAGAAAATGGCTAAACAACAAAAAAGTATCTGCAGAATTTCAAACATGAGGCAAGGAGTATTCATACTTTGTGTAAGTGTTTGTATGGACTGGGTCTAAAAGCCACACACACAGGATATTGCCCCTCAAATAAACCTAATGCTGCAGTGATCAAAAACTTTCAAGTATCTCTTGTGTGTGAAGTCTTATAACATATTGGAAGAAACTGAGGGAGGAAGATGAAAAAATGCAGAAGGGTGGTGCTATAAATGTAGTCCAATGTCTGCTTTTGCGTGTGTGTGGACTAGAAATGGAACAAAAGTATATTTTCTACATTCACTAATTCAAACTTTTTTGTTTTGTTCCATTGGAGTGTCAAACACCCTCCTTTCTGTGTAATATCTATTGTAGCTGGTGGCTGCTGTTGGGGACCCATATGTGAGACGCACCACGGATGACCTAATCAAAGTGTAAAGTGTCATCACTTTTTCTATGAGATGTTGAAAGTAAATAGATCGGACCAACAATTACTTTTGTAATAATAAAATAATATCTATTGCTTCAGCCATGTTTTTTTCATACCGCTCCAGTTCCAATATCCACAACACTGCCTCGTTGCTTTCTCACTCATCTTTTGTGTAGGCCAATTGTATTCTTTCAAGGTTATAATAGTAAAATAAAGTATTTGGCTGAATAAAGTTTAAAATACCTTTACATATATTTTGTGCTTCAATTTATGATCAGCTGCACTGATTCATGGGAAAGAACCATCACTTTGGAACAACTGATTTGGGCTGGATCGGGATCAGATGGATCCCCCAGTTGTGAAGAGGCCTCATTCACATGAGTTATGCTTACCCCTTTAGTGGTTTATGACTGGTTGAAGTCAAATGGATATATGCTAAGAGAGGCTTTATGAAACAATATGTCAGGCTTGCCTGATAAAATATGAAGGATGAAAAAAGGAAAGAACAGAAGAGATGGATCCATGCCAGTGAAGGGTAAGACAAGACTGGACAGAGGACAAAACAATGGTAAAAAAAACAAAGGAAATATGTAGAGCCATTACTAAATATTCAGTGAAATAATCACCAGTTGGATATCGTTACCTTTCAAGGGCTGCCTGCAAAAAGGCATCTGTGAATGTCTCCTCATCTGCACCAAGATCAAACAGGAGAAGAGCTTTCAAGTCATCTTCAGGTGTCATACTTGTCATTTTGTTGAACTCTTCTGGAGATACTGTCACATCATTCAGTGCTCTTCCTGACCGCTAAAATAAAAATGATCACATTTTAACATACTGCCTTCTGAGTCAGTGTTTCCTAAACTGGAGGTTGGTGATACCTTCTGCAACTATTTTATAAATTATTTCTAGATAATTTCAAATAAAAACTAACAGATAGATTAATCACAAACTTATTGGAAACAAGACACCACTGAAGCAAAACTTAGCTCACATCACAATTCTGGAAAACTAAGAGTAAAATTTTCAAATAAAGCCTATCAATAAATAATTCAATGAATCTAGGAAGTGTCTTATTATCACACAAGTTAAAAAAGGAGATAATGGGAGTGATATTATATGTATTAGGAAACTATAACAGGACACATAACTGCAATGGTGCTCGTACAATACCCTTGAGTAACCATTTCAAAGCTTCTATAATATTGTTAGCTATATTCTACAATGTTACTAAATCAGAGCAATAATAATACTTACAAATCTCTTTAGAAAGCTCTCCATGCTGATGCTAAAGAACTTCAACTTCACCCCTGGATGGTGTGGTATCAAAAGTAAAGACACAGCATCTGCTTGTCGCAATGATGTACTCCATCTAGCCTCTACTTCAATACTGTAACCAACCCGGGACCTTTTAACATTCGCCTCCTCTTTAGCACTAGCAGCTGAGGCTTGACTTGAGTTATTGGAGGAAGCACTCGCACTCTGATCAGACACTACGGGGGATGCCGATTCTGCGAGATCTTCCCTGGACTGAATCTCATCACTGCTACGACGCCGGCAGCTTCTTTTGGCCTTTTGTCCATCTTTCTCTTCATCGTGCAGAAAGGAGAGAATTATGTGATTGAGATTGTTAGCCGATTCTAACCAATGTCCTTGATAATTGTTTTCAACAGTGCCAATGATTCCTGTGGCCGAGAACAGTCCAAATTCACACGTTTTGGGCAGAGATCCATGGAGGTACTGAGCGAGGGTAAGTTTTCCTGTTGAGGTAAACCAGCATCAATCAAAAGACATTCTCAGAAAAATCTGAAGAATATAATCAATGGGAATTAGAATCTATTGTACTGTGATGGAAGCAAATAAAAAACAAACAAACAATAATTTGACATCCAGAATTTTTTTTTAAAGTTTAAATAAATTATCAAATAAAAATGGAGAAAGGAAAATAACTTATATCAATCTACTTTAGTGATCAACTGTATATTTGCTTTCTATTTCTATGGCCTGCATTTCTCTATTTACATGTTAAATGTTTTACAACAATCCACTTCATTTCTAATTTTCAAGATGAGAAGTACCTTCTTATATTCAATGTTCACTTAAGTGATAAACCAATAAAGAAAGCACCAAATTACACACCATTTTCTCCTTTTTTGCTGAAGATGTCAGTGCGACTCAACCAATCTTCATTGCAGAATCCAATGCAATATCGTGGTCTGCTAACAATGTGCTCAAAAAATCCTTCAAATAAACTGCTTGGAGATAATTCACCAATGGTCACCTGAAAGAAAGGAAAATTCTGAATCATTTCTTCCACCAATATGATGCAGGACCCTTTAAACCCTAAATTGGCTGTGTATTGTTGGGTAGTAAATAGTTTCCCACAAGGATTCACAGGGAACTCTTTTCTTGTTATTAGTATTTTTTTTTCACCCTAAATTAATTTTAGTACCATGAAGAAAGGGAAGACACTGAAGTTGGTTAAACCTGGTATACTACAATGAACAATGATTAAGCAATGAATTTCTGCCAAATAATTTATAATGCAAACACTGTAATCAGCTGGTCTACGTCAGTTTTTCAATTGCAGTAAATATTGTCACAAACAAGCCAACGTTTTTGTAAATATCGTTACGTCTTCCTATAAAGATTCTAAACAGATATGTTTGATGACATATCTACAGCCTACAGTAAGGCTTTAATTTCCCAAAATGTCTATTTTGTTTATGTTCACATATTTACTGTCAATTTTTTCCTTTAATTATCAAGCAGATATCAAATATACAAACTGGATAAAAACTATCAACATATACACAAAATATTTGACGTCTAAGATATCCCACGTCACGTATGACAAAACAGGACATAACTTCAATGAGTGTTCTCACCTTCCCCTCTGTGGTGGGGATACTGTGAGGATGAATGGTCAAGTAGTGCAGTCTTCTGCGTTTCTCTAGTATCTTGGCTCCAACGTCTGCCCAAGTCCTGCATACTGCTCTTAGCCTTGCAACTTCTCTGAAGCTGAGATTCTCAAAGATCCTCTGTTAATTGATAAGTGAAAGTATTAATTACTAAACAGAATAAAATGTACTACAATGATTTACCTGTAAATAATACCAATAATACTAACAGTTAAGCTCATATATATATATATATATATATATATAATATATATATATATATATATATATATATATATATATATATATAATAAAAAAAACTTTAATACTAAACACTTTGATACTTAATACAATATAAAAGCTAAGAAAT